GCGACAGATTGTGGGACACCCGCAGAGATCTTGGGGCCGTCGAGGCGATCCGGGACTGTCATTGAACCCTCACGAGGAGTGTAAGTCGGGCCAGATGTTTTAGATGTGGACAGCTGGTTGGAGGTGGTGGGCCTGGCCTCACTCTGCTTTGCCTGCAAAGAAGAGGAAGTCTCCGTGAACCGTCCATACCCAGTGGCAGTCTTTGGAACGGTCGGTTTTTCAGACTCTCGAAACAGCGATTGTACCTTATTCTGAATGGTGCGTGAGCGTGCACCATCGCCTATCGCTCTTCCACCCGCGTCGCCCGTTTCGGCAACCCGGCGGCGGTACTCAGCTGCGGCATTGGCAACTCGTTTCTCCTCTTGGGAGAGTCGGCGGCGTTCCAGCTCCCGACGCATTTCCGGTGATATGTCGTCCCGGTCGGCGTCTTCCAAGGCAATCTCGTCATTTGGCGAAAGACTTTCGTCGGCCGAATCCGACATCCCAATCAGACCCTGTCGAGGTACATCCTCTGCCGATGGCGACGATGATTTTTCTTGATTGCCCGCCTCGAATCGCCGGAATGCATCGCCAAATCGACCGGCAAATATGTTCTTGCCTCCTGAAAGCGACAAAGTAGACAGACTACCGCGCTTGTTGTGTTTGTAGCTACCACTAGAGCGTTTTTCGCGCTTCCGATTGCTCTCTTCTTCTTCCATCGCGCGTAGGTAATCGACGTCAGAGGAAATAGTCCGATCAGACTCACGATCCACCTCGGTACGAACTGAGCGTAGTGGCGCGCCGCCGTCATATTGCTGGCGGGACATATCCAACGAAGACCGTGGACTCTCAGAGTCACGCGGCAGGTCATATCTCACTCCCGCCTGAACTGACATCGGTCGAGCTTTTCCAAGAGCGGATTTAGAGCGTCCCACGGGTTCATTTGCCTCTAATGTTGAAGGCCGTCTCAAGGTTTCCATCGAGGGGCGCGCAGAATTAGACTGGCTGGAAATACGGTCAGATGGCAACCGAGAGCTTCCTTCCACATTCAAACTCGACATCGGGGGGATGGCGCTTTTTGCGGGCGTGTCACTCTTTGTTGCTCCTCAGTTGTGAATGGCTCGCTGGAAGATCGGTGTTCATTATCGGACGAAGGGAATCGATAGATTGGGCGAGTAAGGATATTTGGCTCCGGCAAACGAGGTGTTTGGATAGGTGAGGTCATGGTACCCGTCGACACCATTGTGGGCCGCTGAGGAGTTGGCTGGTACAAGGGAACAGCCTGCGGGGCGGGGGCTTCACGCAAATTAGGTGTTCGGGCAGGAGAAGTTTGGGATGTTCGCTTATAGACTGGCTTCGGCGCACGTTCGGGCGAGACACGTCTGGCAAAAGCATCATCGGCTAGGGCGTTGGTGAGTCTTCGAGATAGATCCTCGTCCTCAGGCTTAGATTCAACTGTTGGCTCGAATTCAAACTTGTCCCCTTTTTCATGCAAAATGTCAAACTGGTCTAGGGAGGGGAACCGTTTTGACATTTCCTCTGCCGTCTTCTTTCGGGCTGCGCTCCCATCCAGGGCTGCAAACGGATCGTTTGACGAAGCTTCAGCAGCGGCCCGATATGGTGAAGGACTCGGTCTGTCGGAGCTAGGGTGGGACGATGGGGATTTCCCAGGTCGACCACGCCGCATAGGCGCAATCTCTGGGATTATCTCGGTCTCCTGCATTGGAGGCGAAAATACCGCGCCTACCGCAGGAGCTTCCGTGGGTGTAGGCGGTAGCTCTTGATACTTGCGTGCTTCCGAAACAGAGCGGTTGGAATAGATCTAAGCGACAGTCAGTGTTAAGTTTTCACTAGAAGAAGTGTGGGTAACATACGTCTTTGATAGGAACTTCCTTTCCTTGCATTTTGCACACCTCGCGCACGACCTCGTATATGTTGGGACGATTGCGGGGGTCTTCCTTCAACATTGAGCCTGTTCGGAGTTGTCAGCCATCAGTGATCAATTATAGGCCAAAGGAATCTTCCAAACTTACCAATGAACAGCTTCAGCCGACTCGAAAATGAAGGGTAGGAAGGGTATTTGAAGGTCGCGTTGAGAATAGCCATCTGACCGACCTCTTCAAAGGGGGTTGTATAGTAGCATAATTTGTACAAAAACACACCAAGTGCCCAAATATCACTCTTTTCGTCAATCGGTTGCTTCCGATAGACATCAATCATCTCCGGGCTTCGGTACTGTAGTGTCGTATGCCGTTGCACATCATCTTCAATCAAGCGACCCTCAGCAGCAGAAGTAGCAGCAGGACGAGGGGGTGCGGATGATCCAAAATCACACAGTTTGTAGGTGGCAGAACTCCCCTTGCCCGAGATCAAAACGTTCTCAACTTTCAGATCACGATGGAGGAGGGGCGGTTTGAGATAATGCATACACGCAACACCTTCAGCAACATCGGAGAAGATTTTGACAATCTCCGGCTCTGTCAACCGGTGTTGAAGCCGGGTGTTCATGAAGTCGATAAGACCACCACCTGCGCAGTACTCCATGACCAGGAACACCTCATATCCACCTCCGCGCAGCTGTGAAGCATGCGAATCAATATACTTCACAATGTGCCGGTGACCCTTGAGCTTCTTCATAGTTTCCACCTCGGTGCGCATGTTGGCAAGGGCCGCCTTGTCAGGCACAGCCACCCGCTTCAGCACTGCGGTTTCGGACCCATTGACTGGCTGAGGCAATCGCACCACGTAGACATGAGCAAAACCGCCTTCGGAGAGGTATTTCTCCACCACTACGCGATGGCTGCCGACTTGAATCTTAGTGCCTGGAAGCAAGGTCCCCGCAGGTGCTGTCGCTGCGGCGACGGGATTGTAGACGGGGAATTGACGTGACGTCGCGGGATGACCGTGGTGGGATTGTGAGGACATGGTGCCGGGATGCCCTTCAAGGGCAGGTCGTAAATCGGTTCTCGGTGGCTAGCGACGCGGCATAGAGAGTGAGACGGGGACTGGGGGGTGTCAAGGTTGGCGGAGACAGGTGCCTGGGAGGGGGGGACTAAAAGGACAAGTTGGCGGGGAGGCGGAGACACGGGGTAGTACCTGACTACCAGGCTATTACAAGGGGGAAAGGAGAAGATGTGAAGCTGAGGTGAGATAGAAAGAAAACGATCAACACTCCAATGGAGAGAAGGAGGGTATTGGAATCTCAAGTGGAAAGCCACCCAATCACTGGCTGCAGATCACGTTCTGCCGAGTCTTGTTCCTCACCATCGGGGTTCTCTTTCACATTCACTTCTCCTAAACTACTTTCACTACGGTGTCCCACTGCCAGGCTAATATCCAGTGTTCAGCATAGCCTAAGTGGGCCAGGATGGCTACAAGTGTCTCTCATGAGGCCCTATGTCCTCTTGTCCCTGGTCATGGTCCCGCACCTCATGCCGCGATCATGGGACATCTTAGGACATCTATATCGTACGGCACGCTCACCACACCTGTGGATAGTGACCATGAGATATAGTTGCCCACCTCTCTTTATTTCTTTTTTCTGAGTCATGAGCCCTTCCTCAACCTCGGACTCGAATTTTACCACACACTCCACACTATGCTGTGAAGAAGCCTCGGTGGCTACAACCTCCAACTTGAATATCTTGGACCCACTACGTCCAAACTATCTTCCCCAACCGCTTGACCGCAAGATTAAAAAGTGTTTTCTAGCGCTCCGCCGCCCCCAGCGTTATATGCTCCGAGCCAAACCACCGGAGGACATACTAAGACCAAATGTTCTTTACGCTGGTCTGCAGCTCGAGGTACACAGGGCTATGAAATTACGCATCAACAGCAATCGCTTGTGTAAGCTATATGACAGCCGCGTGTTTGGACTCTTCACAAAACAATGCGAACATCCGAAGCACCCCGGGCTCCTTATAATGTCCCGGCTGGGTAGAGGCTCAAGTGGTCCGAACGCGAATACGGGCCGCTTTTAGCCACAGAGTATGGAAATATGGAAATAACTGTAAAATCGACGCAGAATTTATGTATTAATATACATACATGCAGCATGCCAGATACTATATAGATACTATATAGATACTATATATTTTTGACCTAACTTTTCCAGCTCGAACTAGTTTTTTTTCACTCCTATTTCCCTCATACTCCATCTCTCTCAACATTGTAATGCAAGAAAGCGGAGAGATGGTCGGAAGAATGATATTCCAGATATGACATAAGCAAGCACTTTCTCAAAAGGGTAAAATCAAAACAAAACAGCCGTACTTTTGCCATATCGACAGGACTCTGAGCATTGATGCCTTTGCAGGTTGAAAATCTATATTAAAAGACCTATGTTTGAGAACAAACACTTGAATAGTCATAGCTTTAAACAATTCCATTGCTTGAGAAAAGTTCACTGTAACTAATTGTTCTTGTAATTCCATCCCTTGAGGTTATTTCTTAAATAGGTCACATAGCCCTACGTAGAATCGCGTGGCCTCCGAGGAATTCAACATAATTCGGATAATATACGGGGAGCCGCATCAAGAACTAGTAAAGAGAACCTTGGAACTCTCTCGTTCGTTTGCTCGTTCGCATTATCAATTTTTGTTTTTTGATGTGATGGCCACGTCGAGTGATGCAGGAAGCGTTGGCGCCGATCCTTAGCTCCCACACTTCCTTTCCAAACAAACCCCCCCAAAGTCAGACTCAGGTTCTCCCGCGCTTTCAACCTTTTTTTTTCTCTGCTTTGCGATTTGGATTTTGTTTGGATTTTTGATCTTTGTTGTGTCTTTTTTTTTCTTGGATTTGGCATCTAAGTACCCTCCATAGCACTGAGTGCCCGAGGCCTCAGTGCAACACTTGTCAGACTAATATGACCTGGCAGTTGACTCTCAACCGCGAGAACTTGTCCATCTAGGATTGATCCGGCCGATCAACCCAGGTTGTAGTTATTCGTTCGACCGACGCTACGCTTCGCTGCACTGCGGCGCATATATATTAACCCTATTGTCGCTCCGGGCTGATCCAACATGGACGATCCGCCGCCACCACCACCGCCGCCTCATGGCGAAAATCCCCATACGACTGAAGGCGAATATCGCAAATCTTCGGACCTGCCAGATGGCAACTACGACATCTTTATCATCCCACCTCACTCCGCTGGCTCGGGCTTCCTTTACCTTCCGTCGCTGCAGTGCAACCGAAACAGTTTCCTAGCAGGTGTCGCGAGCACACTGCTCGCATGTTTCGTGTGGTCGTACATCTCCCCGATTGTGAAGGCATGGTATATAGCCACGGTCGCTAGCGGCAGTGGTACGGGCATGGCAGTACTTGCGATCGGGGTGGGTGTCGTTGGATGGCTTTTTGGCTCCATCCAGTCTGCCAGCTCGGGAGACAATAAAGGCAATGGCGGTGCTCGAGGTGGGCGGTTCGGATTTGGTGGCTTTGGTGGTGGTTCTGCGGGCCCAGGCGGTCCTGGAGGCCCGGGTGGCCCTAGGAACGCCGGTCGAAACACCAACCAACAGTCATCGGGGGAAATTATAGCGGCAATGGGGCGGGTCAGCAAGGACAACGGGGAGGAAACTTTGGTGGAGGACAAACCCACGGCAACCAATATTCCGGTAATCAACATGGCTCTGGTCCTCCTCCAAATTCTGATAATAACAAACGTGAAAAGGAGGAGGCTGAAAAGCGAGCTAAGGAGGAACGAGCGAAAGAGGAACGAGCGAAGGAAGAACGGGCTAAGGAAGAGCGGGCTAGGGAAGAGCGAGCTAGGGAAGAGCGAGCTAAGGAAGAGCGAGCTAAGGAGCAGCGCGCTAAGGAACAGCGTGCTAGGGAGGAGCGTGCTAGGGAGGAGCGTGCTCGGGAGGAACGTGCTAGGGAGGAACGCATCAGAGAAGAACGAGCAAAGCAAGAGCGAGCTAGAGAGGAACGTGCTAAGGAGGAGCGTGCCAGAGAAGAACGCATCAAGGAGGAGCGTGCCAGAGAGGAGCGGGCTAAGGAACGAGCCAGGGAAGAAGCCGAACGAGAGCGAGCAAAAGAAGAAACGAGGCGCAAAGAGGAGCTACGCCGAAAGATGGAGGAGTTCAAGCGCAAGCGTGATGCAGAGGCTAAAGAAAAGGAGAAAAAACGCGAGCGTGAAGCAATGGAGAAGGAATTACAGGAACGGCGCGAGCAGCTCGAAAAGGAAATGGCTGCTGCGAGAGTCGCTGCGGAGAAGGAGGCACGCGAACGACTGGAGAAGGAAGCCGCAGAGGCCCGCGAGAGACAGGCAAAGGCCGAAGCCGAGGCAAAGGCCAAACTCGCAAAGTTGGAAGCAGAAGCCAAAGAGAAGGCTGCTAAAGAAGCCGCTGAAAAAGAAGCTGCTGCAAAGGCCGCCGCCCAAAAAGAAGCTATGGCCAGATTTGCGGCGCTCAAGGAAGCAGCAAGCAAGAAATACGCCGAGAAGAAGGCGCAAGATGCAAAGAAAGAGGCTGCTGCCAAATCACCGCCGCCGAAGCCAGCTAGTACTAGCAATCTGCCTCGCACGCCTTCTCCCAAAAAGCCAGCCCCTCCAGCCGCCAAAACTGCCAACGATGACGATGCGTACTCGTTTCGCCCTTACGACCGACCACGGCGGCCATACGCGGCCGGCACATCAGTATACTCCGAGTCTTCATATGCACCTTCTCACTCGACTGCGCGTACAACACCTCCCCCTCACATCGCAGTACATATTCCACAAAGGATCCAGATAAGATCGTGATCCAAGGTGTATACGCATTCAACAATGCCTTTATGAAGACACCAGTGGCGCAACTTGTCTCGGGCCAAGGCATGATCACCGATGGGCTGGTGCTGCGCATCACAACCGAAGGTTTATTCATCGACGATGACCTACGCGGCATCGGCCAGCGTGAGTGGGACGTCAAGGCATGGACCCTCAAGCTAGCGGAGGTTTGGTGTCCACAAGTGAACACTGCATCCGCCAAAACTGCGTCCAGCAACCCTTTCTCTTTCCGTCGTGGGAACAACGTCCCCACCAACGAAGAATCAGAGGCCTTTCTTGGTAACTTGCTTAAGGTATGCAAGAATACTTGCCGCCTGGCTTCGCCCAGTGCGTGCTTTGCGCGCAGCGCTACTGCCAGTCATGATGGTGGCCCCGTTCACCCGCCCCAGACGGAATTTCGTGGGTTACACATTCTCCGCGCCAGTGTTCGTGACCAAGAAGGCAAAAAGTATGTCTTTGTATTGCAGGATACTGAGGCCTGGAAGGTCGCCATCGGTCTCCAGCGGCTCCGGGCTGGTGCTCTGGTTCGCGCGCTGGGTGTCTCCGCTCTGCCAGTCCCTGAATGCAAAACCATGCTCAGTGCTCTCGGTTATGTTTGATTGAAGACTTGTTATGCCAGCGTTCTGTTACCTTTCTTGCATCTTCTTTATTCGCCATTTATCTTCATATGCCCTTCTTGTGTCTGATTCGACTCGAACGTCATCACTCATTAGCGGTGGAGTTTGCTTTATGCTCTTCTGTCCGGTACATTCATTCGCTATTCTTGTCTTGTTTGCGCCATATTTTTTGAGATTCCCCTAGTTTATTTGTTTCATATTAATTAGTACATTTGTTCAGCATGTTGAGGAGAAGTACATATCACAGAACATTACGATTGCTTATATTGTTTATCATGATTACATAGCATGACCAACCCTTCTATATGACAGGTGCGCAATGAGAGCTATCTTCCTCCACTTTGTAGGGGTAAATGAATGAAGCAGAGATAGTATATTTGGATATCACCGCAATATATCCTGAGAGATATTTCTGATAAAGATAGTTCATACTCAAGCTCTTCCTACATATCCTCTCCTTGGCTTGAATTTCACTCGTAAGGTACTATATGTACTTCGCCAGACCCATTCCACTTAGAACTTATACGCGAATCCAGAATCAATGAAGACTCATGACATTTCAATGGACCAGAATTAACATCCTACAATAGAAACCTACTGCCAATTAACGCTCAGGTTGGCTAAAGCTGACAACCCTAAACCCCCTCACCTGTCTCCGGTCGTGTACCGTCTCATGAACTCCTAGGTTTCTAATGAGGAACTGATGATTCTGTATGATTGGCTTAATTGTTCTTCAATCTAGATACTATAGACTAATCATTGTAACACTGTCGTAATAAGTAAAGGGAAGCATGGACTTATTATAATACATGTAGTTAGGCATTAGAAGGAACTACCACGATGTAGCTAGTTATGGGGTATACGAGAATGAACCACGTTATGAGAAAAAGACCTTTGTTTTATGAGCGTCATTCTAGTGTATATGCTGTATATTCTTTTTGCTTAACCATATGGAAACAAGAATGACAACCTCACAAAGTGCCCAGAACATGCAAAGCGAATCTCTCTATGACAAAATTCAAAGTCAAGGTCGAGATGAAGAGCGAGACTCTAGAGAAGAGTAAAACAATAAACAGACGCCGAAAATGGGTGATCGGATGTAGAGCTTGTAGGTCTTCTGTACACATAGATTGGAAAACCATCGTCCACATTGTTCTCGTAGATTCACTCCAGATTGCAACACTCATATACAAAAATTCTCCGAAAAAAAAAGACCACAAGGGTGAAAGAGGAAAAGGGGAAAGAAAAGACTAGACTGAAGGAAAAAAAAATTCAGATCTATCATATCGGGAATCATATGGCGTCTCCGCAGAAACACGGTGGAAAAAAAAGGTGACATGGCAGTGGGCAAAAAAAGCGAACCCCCAATATCTAACAAATCAATATGCAAGATATCAAGGTGCAACTCCAACTCCGGTGAAAGACATGCGAATTCCTGTTTTGGGGGTTCGTCATCTTGGGACAAAAGAAGAAAGAATCAGTCGTGGTATCGAGTGAATAGAATGGGTTAGATGGCATCATCTAGAAGTGGAAGCCGCCATGAGAATGACCGAAGGGGTCGCCGCCGCCGCCGCCGTTCATCATGTTGCGAAGCATTTCGGGATCGATAGTATGGACGCCGCCGCCGCCGAATCCACCGCCGAATCCACCACCAGGGAAGCCACCGCCGCCGAAGCCGCCGCCGGGGAAACCACCACCACCAGGGAAACCACCGCCGCCATACATGCCCTCCCTCAGTTCATCGTAGTTATCATAAGCAGCACGTTTCCTGAAAATAAGATTAGTTCTGTGTCAAATGAATGGTGTTGAAACTTGTGGCGGACTTACTGAGAATCAATCAAAGTCTCGTAGGCTTCGCCAATTTCCTTGAACTTCTCGTCGCCGGCTGCACCGTCGCGGTTCTTATCGGGGTGGTATAGAATAGCCAGCTTGCGGTAAGCCTTCTTGATTTCCTGATCGCTGGCATCCTTGCTGATCCCCAGAATCTTATAGTAGTCCTTGCGTTGAGACTTCTTCAACTCGAATTCAGCATTTTGTATATCCTCTGCAATGCCGCTCTCGTTGGGGTTGTTCTCAGCAACGCTCTTATAGTCACGAATAGCCTCCTCCCAGTTACCGGCCTTGCCGTGGGCCTTGGCACGGCACTTCATAGCCTTGATATATCCGGGGTCGAGACGGAGGGCTTCAGTACAGTCCTGAATGGCAGCGTCATACTCCTTCAAGTTGATATAAGCCTGAGCACGGTTACCCAGAATCTTGGCATTCATATCCTTGTTGGAGGGGTCAACCTCAAGAGCCTGGGCCCAAAGTTCGATAGCACGACCATAATCCTTGGCCTTGAAAGCGTTGTTTCCTTCTTCCTTTGTGCGAGCCAACTTCTGCACAATACGCAGCAGCTTGATGGCCTGCTTCATGTCTGGGTCCAGCCCGAGGCACATCTTCAGAAGCTTCTGCGCCTGCTCGGACTCACCGAGGGCATAGAAGGCGCGGGCACGGATCATCATCGCATCCGGGTCTTGGCTGTTCTCGCGCAGCAAGCTGATCGCAATGTCCTGTGCCTTGCCCAGCGAGTTGACGTTGTTCAGCTTGAGATGGGCCTCGGCGGCCAAAAGCGTCCACTTGCGGGGCTCCTTGACACCTTGTCCGAGTCCTTGCCGTGCCTGGTCTAGGCAATAGATCACCATCGACAGACCGCGGTCTTGTGCTATTGTATCTTCGGCCTGCTTAACGAAACGCAGCATCTTCTCTGCGGCTGCCCGATCAGTGGCGGTCGCTGGTGGCTGGATGCGTGACAGCACCTCCAGGGCCTCTGCGGGGCGACCCAAACTTGTCAGGATCTTAGCCCATCGGTGCATAATCTTTGGGTTGTTGGGGTCGAGCTCGTTGGAGCGCTGAACATCTTCAAGCGCATTGGAAAATTGTTTAGCGGACATGTAGGCCGCCGCACGGTTAGAGAGATAGGCCGATGAGTTGGGATTGATCTCGATGGCTGTAGTCACAAAAAAAATCATCAGCGACCCCGCCCATTCAAGGCTAATTCATGAGACACGGAGTCCCTGTGAGATCAGAAAATACATACCCTTGTTGTATTCCTCGATAGCTCGTCGGTAGTTGCCATCCTTGAAGAACTTGTTTCCGGCCAACTTGAAGGAGTCGGCCTCGTCGGCAGAGGCTGAATTCGGCTGGTGTGGTGGCGGGGTTGGACTCCGCTCCTCAGTGCCATTCACGCCATTGTTCTGAGGTTCCTGGGGATCGATATCCATGGAGCTCCGTTGCTCTTCGTTTGCTGCCATGGCGGACAATCGACGACGTAGCTCGTCAGGTGGGAGATTGAGTGGGTGTGTGTCCTGGTCACGCGAAGACCGGGAAAACCTGAAATTGGCGGTCGGTCCGGAATTGGAGGATGACCGACTGTGAGTAAAATAGGATTGTTTGGAGGATTTGGAGGGTTTGGTGGGGGACGAGGATTTGGAAGGAGGTTTAGATGACTTGGTCGGGGATTTAGATGGCGACTTCGAAGATGTGGATGTGCGCGAAGCGGAAAATGAATTTCGAGGTGAACGTATATCAGGGTTGTTCTTCTCGCTCTTCTCCTTGTCCTTGTCCTTTTTGAAGAAGTGGGCGAGTTGGACCATTGGGGGGTGGGGAGGGCGGTTTTTTTTTTCTTCTATCGAAGGCGGTAGAATCGGGGAGATTTCCAGGTCTGAACCACGGATGGGAGGGACTTGGGGAATATCAACTTTGGACTTTTGCAACTTTTGGCAACTTCAACTTTGCAACTTGAAATCTTTTTTTATTCAAGTTTGACCCATGTCTTGTTTCACTCTTTGATTGCTGTCATATTAATAATAATAATAAAGTATGTTGATTGCGGACTGGGTTTGGTAGCCTCGATGCTTGATGTCGGGGTGAAAACTAGACCGAGAGATTCGTCGGGCACGTCCTCTTATAATATAATTTTTTTTTTCTATTCTATCATATGTCCCATCTTTACTACTGGCTGGCAAATAATCCAGAGGCTGGAGAGCTGCTGGTCTGTGTTAGCGCACAAAAGAATTGGAGCAATGGAGTCACCCATTCCTTGACCGGGATTGATACCCAGCCGCGAGGGGAGGGGGAAACAAGTCGAAGTGATTCGAGAATCTTCCATCTTCTTATTTTCGTCTTTGAATCCTATCACCCCCTCAACGAAAACTGCAGGGGTGGTTAGCGAGGCTGTTTACTCGCGGTGGAGCGGTGGATCCAATATGCAGTTTGCTAGTTTCCTATGCTGACGGGTGACAGACATACAGCAACGCCGTGACTGGCGTCTCGGAGAGGGGAACCCCTGCATCGGGCTCCTCGTCTGGATATTACTCACACTAATCTTGTCTGGACCAATCCAGCTACATCTCGGTTCTCCATGCCCAGATGCCGGGGTATACTTATACAACGTATCGAGGGCCAAGTCTGGGCCCGATTAGGACTCGTCTTAATAGCCATAGTACAAATTTCTCTTGTAGGCGAAACTTAAGTGAAACACCGGTCTTACAGCGTCATCACATAGGTCTAATTTATGAAAAGATGCTGAAAAATAAGTGTTATAAGCACTAGTGTACTGAAAGGCTTAAAAAAGCTATGAAGCATGTCAAAAGAATGGGTAGAGAGCGAAAGAATCATAATATCAGAATGACAAATTCATTTGATAACTCCAGCGCCATGTCACCAAGGTATCCATCCCCTCTCTTCAAGCTACCATGTTATCATTGTCATAACCCCCAGCTCCTCACGGAATCCCCGCGGTTAGTCATTTAGATATTCCCTACTACAAAATTTTAGAAGATCTTTACATTAGTGTATTAATAAAGCAATATTATGGGTAATCTCCCTTAGAGCAAAATGAATCTGATGCTCAAATAGTGGGGATGGGTCCATTGATGACCCCTGTTCCGTTCCCGGTAGCGCATTTCCGCCAACATTGACTTAAAAGCCAATATTAAGAAGAACCAATAACAGGTGAGCTTGTCAACGGCTAACGGGGCACCATCCGCTATCATAACTTCTCCCGTCAGAAATATAGCAATGCGCAAAAAGGACAAACCCCCAATATACGCTCGATCAAGCTATGACATATCGGAGTGAGACTCCAATTCTGGTCAAATACATGGATATTACTGTCTTTCTGTTTCGTCGACTCGTGAAAGAAGATAGAATAATTCCTCGTCAACAAGATGGGTTGGATGCTTGATCTGAACCAAAGGTCGTATGGTGGACATCCTTTTTGGAGGGGCCCTGTATACTCTCGAGACAGGCGAGAGAAAATGATACAAATTTGTAGAAATATAGCTTCATTGTTTGAATTCATAATAACCCCCGAGCCATTGAGAGAAGTCAGCCAACCCTAGAGTCAGACAGTCTAAGATCAAACCGAATGGATGCTATCGCCCCTTTCTCTATAAGCGGTGCTCAATTTTATCTACAACAAACCGCTTCAGAGTAAAGTCAAAACTACATCAGTCCAATTTCTATATGTACTTATTTGGCATTCATATATGCCCGATACAGGCCACGAATCAATATATTCCCATGGCATATCAGAAAGGTTATAAGGCTAACCAAACAGAGAGGCACTGTACTCAAGAACGATCAATCACGCCCAATTTCTGCCGATTCTCATGTATCCTTCGAGCAGTTGCAACCCAGTTGGAAACCCGGTCATTTCTTAAAGCTGTGTCATGTGTCTGGCCCAACCTGCGTTCATCATGGGGCGGGGACTGTCTCAGCAGATTCTCCCGGCAAAGGCGATTATTATAGTCGATGTGCTCGTCAAGACATTGAAACACGTTCTGCCATGGTGTTATTGGTGAAATGGGCGAAATTGGTGATACTGGTGATCGACAAAACGCTGTATCATCTTGGGGCCGAGAATCATGTGTGCGGGGCATATATATCTCTCCAACAATCCATTTCTTTTCAGCTTCAATCCAAGTGAGAGGCACACAACTCCGTGGTCGGACAGGAGGATGTGGAGTGTGTTGCATACGTGGGGGCATCTCGTATTCATATTGCGGATCGCAGTTGGGAGATAGTTCGTCCGACGGATTGCTTGTACGTCTACGGGGAGAAGTCCGCGTTATATTGCCATCGACTGTGGAGCGGTTAACTGACCAGTCCTGTAGTCCGTTGCAATGCTGTGTTGGCGAGATAGCGTCCGTTGAAGCAGGTCTCGGTGGCAGAGGTGTTGACGGTAAATGTTGACTCGAAGCACGTAACTGTGTATGAATACGAGGGGGGCTCATATCTGGCGGAATAATGAATTTTGGATTAACCATAGGTGAGCCCTCGAGGGATGAGAGATCCATGAGAGGATATTCAAGGTCAGAGGGTGGTTTGGGATGTTCGGAAGCGCGTCGCTGGGACTGACAGAAACGCATTGTTCGGTGGAATAGGGATTCTGACAAGTAGATAGTATATCATATGGCTTGATATACTATCTTTAGACACGAGCTTTGTGCGCTTCGGGAGAGTTCAATAGTGGACCGTCACGGAGGGCCCGTATCCAAAGTCAGAATAGAACCGAACTTGGAATAAAAGGGTCCTTCCTAGGGCGGATAAGCCCAAAAAGGCATCCACTCTTCCCCGGAGAAGGGAATACAACACATATTATGCAGGGTATACACAAAGAAGGAGCAAATAAAAGGCAGATTTATAGGCAGTGGAGTGGAAAGGATATTATTAGGGCTAGAAAAATACTGATGATCTTTCATTGTTCTTATCTATCGGGCATCCCGAAGTCATCACTGAAAATCAATTGCCAGAATGCGAAATCATACCGCTCCTTTTCAGGACAATGGTCATGGATGTCCCACCAGGAAAAAACAAAGAATATAAAGAGAAACCCACCATAGTCCCAAAATTGATTAGTTGCTCGGGGTCCAAGTTGGGGTCCAAATGCATCCACACAAGGGGTCATACATTTTCTCATTCTCACTGCAATGGCCTCAACTTACTAGGTATGTTTGAGATTTCCAATATGTCTTTGGAAAGTAGCAGAAATGGGGCCTGTACGAAGGCCAAGCCTGCCAAGATACTTCGTATATTGCAATACTAATATGAAGGGGTCGTGGCTCCAAATCCGCGTGTCCGGGGCTCGGATCCGATATGTGTTGAAGACTCGAATAATCTCGGTCATAATACACTGCTTCGATTCTTTTTTTTTTCTTTCCTCGCTTGACTGGAGGTGTCCGAATGGCACCAAAGGACACCAGGGGTGAGAGCCCAGTCGATCCTGAATGAACCAGCAGATTTCCGATTCAGCCACTGAACTCACGAATGGTGGAGCTCTCTATTTTCGTCTGCGAATTGTTTACTGTGTACATCGTTTATGCCCATGTGTGCCTGTAATAGTACAAAAATAGTCGGCCTTGTCATGTCTATTTTAGTACCCCACAATCTTTTTTTGTCTTTTCGGATATTTTCCTATATGGGTGTTATTGGTGCTGTGGCTAGAAGTAGACACTATAGCAGAGTCATGGGTGACAGCAAACTACAAAGAATGCCCAGAGAGAATTATCGAGGGGGGAACTGTGAATGAACGAGACCAATACTCGCCATTGATATAAATAAGCGTTATGAATCATGTTGACCGACATGTTCAAGTAGTTCAAGTAGACTAGATTCTAGCTCGAGCTCAATATCACTTGAAACAACAATATATATATACCCAGTACCCATAAAGTTGATTCTATTCATGGATGAGGTTGCGACTTTCCAGAAAACTCATGGTAGTCAGATTCAAGCGTTGAATTGCGGTAGCACGGATGGTAGTTCGCTGGATCAAGTTAAGTTCGAGGTTCAAAATTCAGCCACTCAGTTTGCTTTACAATTGTAAGTCATAGCATGTTCAGCCCTACGAAGTACGAGATTTGATATTTCACATAGAGTCAGGGGCAGGGATAGGAGGCAATACTCGAGTTATCTACGATGGCCGATGCTAGTATTGAGTAAGAGCTTGTCTAGAAGGTTTCAAAATGAACCTGTCTACATAGAAAGTACTAAAACAAGTTATGGAATTATAAATATGCAAAAGGATACATTTCAAATAGGCTACGGCGCTGGAGAGAGGGAAATGTGAAAAGCTGTCATGGTTTACATTAAGATCGTGCTCAAGCCACCAAGCGAGCTTCGCACAACTCCGAAGCTATCCAGGAGAGCCCAAGAAGAAATAAAAAAGGAATATGTATATCAAAAAATCGAAAAGGGGATAGTCATATCCAGTCAGAAAGCAACAATTGTTAATAGTAAATCACCAGAAACCCTAAGTAACACAATCCTCTTCTCACGTCACCTCTAATCAACCACTCCAGTTCAACACAGTGGCTACGCCAAGGTTAGACCCATGGGATCCAACTAGGTGCAGCAGTGCATCAAAAACCCGGAAGAAGTCATTTACAGGAAGAAGGCAGCGACGGCGGCGGCACCGGCGAAGCCGAGGGAGCCGCTGAGAGCACCGGCACCGTTGAAGACAGGGGAAGAGGTAGCGGGGGAGACACCAGCGGTGCCAGTGGCGACACCCTTGCTGCTGGAGGGAACGTGGGGGACACCACCGGTGGGGCCGTGGGGGATAGCGCTACCAGCGGGAGTGCTGGCGGAAACGGGCACGGTAGAGTAGATGACGGTGGGCACACAGGTGGTGATGGCAATCACGCTGGAGGAGACCACGGGAGCGGGGGCGCTGGGAGCGCTAGGAGCGGGAGCGCTGGGGGCAGGGGCGCTGGAGGGAGCGCTGGGGGCGGGAACACTGGGAGCCCAGGTGGGGACGGAGGACCAGGCAGGGGTCTCGGAAGACCAGGCGGGGGTCTCAGTAGAGACGGGGACGGTCTCAGTCTCGGGAGCCTCACCAGCGGGGGTGGTGGCAACGGCGGGAGCGCTGGAGGGGGTGGTGCTGCCAGTGGGCTCAACGCCGGCACCGCCCTTGTTGCCGGGGCAGTCGGTGACGGTAGGAGCGCAAGAGGTGATGGTCACCTCATCGGTCTCGTAGACGGTCTTGTCGGCACCGGGGGCAGCAATGGCAAGGCCGGCGAAGAAAGCAATGGTGGCAGTAGTGAAACGCATTTTGAATGTTTATGTACGAAAACCGTAAAAAGTGATGTTCAAAAAGGTATATATAAAAGCGTAGCTTTTGAAAGAGAGTGAGTTGGTTGTTTAAAGAGTGGAAGACCGAAGTCGAGAGAGAGTGACTGGATGCTTTGCAACGAAGAATGTACTTGGAGAGAAGAAAGAACAGAAACAGCACGGGGGAGGCAGGGGGCCTTTGTATGAACGGGGAGATTAGTGTCACAGATCAGCAGCCACTTGCTTTCTCGTTGTTTTGACCCATTTCGACCCATTTTGGCCCTAAAAAAAGGGGAAAAGAACAAAGACCCAAGTTGTACTAGGTACTTAATCCGCCACTAATCCACACCGCAACCTGCCATGTACCCAGAACTTGACCCTCGCACAGCCTTCATTTATTCAATTCTATGATTGGATCGATGCCAGGGGGAGGTTTCTCATTACCAGGTTAGTTGGTAATTTTGCCCCGCTATGATTTCTAGCGCTAACTTATGACGATCGCCTAGACTTTGGAGACAACCCTGACGGAGTATCAAATTCCTATACGGAGTAAACAGGTTGTAGATATATAAATACATACTTCATACTCCTATATCTAAGAATGAAACTACAATACTACTACAGAGTATACAATACCATCTCCCTCTCCCATGTATGTATTTTGTTTTCTCTTTCTAATCTTGATGTTTCAGACCGCATCGCTGATCCACTACCCGTTCCTGGCATCCCAGTTGTTGGCATTTCCCCGTGGGTCTATTCTCATCTCCACTTACCCCTGAACAGCCCGCCATTTCTTTCGCCAAGAGAACGTACTGTGTAAGGGCGAATCCACGATGATGTGCACTTTACTTGCGAAATGGGATTGGTTCTTTCTCCGGACGTTCATCTTAACATGGAACCCAAACCACTTTCTATGTTGTACTCCGTATGTTATATTTCTTTGTCGGAATAAAACCCGAGACATCCTTTGTATTATTACTAGCCATGTATTGCCTTTACACATTAGTACCTTTTAACTATTATATCTGACTTCTGTGGATCCTAATTTATGGCACTGTACTGTGTCCTCCGGAGCACTGAGTATATCGTCGTCTGAGACCTTTTTTGGTATTTTGTATGTTGTACTGGGTACCGAGTAACTACATGTATGTTGACCATGTTTCCTGGCATCAAAGAGTTGTCGTTTCTTACTATCCCTATTGCGCAACTGTATGTAATATTATAAACCCGGCCAATTTTAGTAAAACTACCTAGAGTAAGCCAATAACCCTGAAAAACAACGCCACTACTTAAGTTACTGTGAATTGCCCCCGCAACGGGAAGGTCTCGCTTCATAACGGCTAGACCGCATTGTTTTGCCTCCGGTCATAGTGCTTGACGATGCTTGCATCTCGTGCCCCTGGACTAGGCAAATGTGGGAGTCAATGCCCAAGCGCAATTTGAGAAAAAATAATATCAGGGTCTGGCCGTGTGATTGGGTGACCCTGACATGGAGCATATGCTGTAATTTTGAGTCTGTTACATCGGCCACTCGGGCTGCACGGTCCATTTTACTTTTTTTGTGTTTTGTATCTGCTTGTAAGAAATCTGTACTCCATACCTTAGAATAATCGGCAGTTATACATACACATACTTGTAGTTCACTGTAGTTGGAACCGGCAGCATCAAAGCGTGTCGATCTTCATCCTGTTCCTAAGTCGAGACCTTGGATCGGACTTTCGAAGCGGTTCGACCACCAGGGCAAATCAGGGTACCTACTGTACTGTAGGTATACCTGGGTAGTTTTGCATAGCCAATGATCGTTTAACCCGGTTAACGCCTTTGACTTTAGACCAATTTTGTTGTACTTTGTTGTCCGGGATCCATGATAGGGGTTGTTCGCAGTGTTCCAGGGCCTCGTGGCGCCCCCCAAACTCCACATGCCGCCGCTATTGAATTCTTGCGCTTCATGGCCCCTTTTTCAATAGATCGGGCCTATGTAGATTCTATATTCCAACATGCTATACTCCGTATACGGTAAGGCTGTACCCTTATCAACCCCATACTCATCCTTGATACTATCTTTAGCTATAATTAGCTTTGTAGAGTATAATTATTGGTGGAGCGTGTTTTATATATATAGCACAACGTTGAGCCAGACCATCAATGATAGGGGTGTTCGTGGGATAATGATTTGGGTGGACCTGGAACTTTTCCGAAGTTCAGCCTCGCCTATCGTGTGGGATATCCTTTACCTTCCTCATTTGACTTCAGTTGTCTCTGAGTCTCTGATGCTCATGGTAAGGGGGTTTTGTCTCAGCCCACCGCTCATACCGCATTCTGGGATTCTTACTTCACATCTTTTGACATTTCCTAACCATTGCGCGGTGCCATGAGCAGACGGATATCACATCGGCTAAGTCGAGAAATTCGTGATTGACTCCCAAGTCAATTTTCTACTGCTCAATGACATTACTTGGACTTGATATGACAGATTCCATTTGACTTGTTCCCCCTCACATAACACCAACAGATCTACGTTGTAGTATGATGTCTTTCGCGCCCAACCAAGGCACCGATTCTGCTATGATGCGGGACTGTCCTCATCTGCTACCCCATCACGTCGCGTCGTCCACTCTGCAGAAAGCGATTTTATGTGATCGCCATCAACAATCACCCATCCGTCACCCAACCCGACCGATCAGCATCGACGCGTCATTATTTTAGCGCTGATGACACAAGCGAGCGGCACCGAGAAGAATATTACGGAGTAGACTCGTTGAGTTTATGTCTATCGAATGCTCCGTACCGAGTACGGAATTCAGATACGCAATATATGCGGAGACAATTTATTTTCGTACCACTATGGGCTCCCGAGGTCGGTGGTATAATGTAATATAACATGGAAGACAACACCCGCGGAAGCTCATCCAGTATAGGCCGTTTTCAAAGAACCGGAAGAGCTAGCTGCTCTGCGCGCTGCCTTTCAAATGCAGCGTTGCAAATCTCTCAACGATCGTAGATCGGCAATGACAATGGTTTGGTTATATTGTCAGTATAGTCATACTTGAAAAGTCTGTAGGACCAAAACCGGGCCTCCCCACTTCACCAAGCAGCGAGAATCTCGATCATGGCTCAGCTTGCTTTTGATCACCGGGATTGCAACCTCGGGGTTGTTGGTGTAAATAAGCCCTTTTGAAGACAAGCGCACGATTCCGTCAAGAATTTTCCTGATATTATTTCTTTATTAGCTAGATCGGGCATCCTTTAGAATCGATTATTCCACTGCCGATAGAGTCTAGGTTGTACTGGAGTACTCCGTATGTAGCAGTATGTACAACAGATATTTTTTTATCTGCTCATCGGGACCAAAATTAGATCGAGATTCACCAAACGCTTGTCTCAAATGAACTCAAATTGTGATATCCACACTGGGGCTATCTACGATATTGTACGATTCTGCTTGGCCTTATGGAACTTGGCGCCGGCTCTCCCGACAATTAGGTCTACGACATAATTTAAATCACGGCCTTAGGAAGTAAACGTTTCGATAGTTAGTAACCGATCCTTTTAACGCCCAGATTTCAGGACAAACCCAGGAAGACTAAAATGCTACTGGTGCGGATCAAGTAGGGCTTCCGGGCCCGCCCATGTCATCATCGGGTTTCATTGCGTATGGCCACAGGGTTGGGCTAAGCCACACCTTGCCAAGGGATAGAATTATTAGCCTTGTTATTAGCACTGGAATTAGCCTGGAATTAGCCCCTCAATGACATATCTATACGTAGTTAATCTATAGAGTAGCTTTTTTTGGAAATATTAGCCCTCGCAATGCTATAACTGGATATAACTAGAGATTGCATCATATAACACATTCCTCCGTAGATAGATTGCAAAAAGGAAAAAGCCGGTACTTCTGTAGGGCTGCACAGGTGGGTAAGATCTCTATGGCCTGTGATAGGTTGTCTTTAGGTGGGGGATACCTAGGTCGGCTTGAATGTGCTGGCAATGATGTCTCGCCACAGTTTGCCTGTAAGTGTGCCCATTAATTGCGGCTCCAAGGCAACAACGTAAGGTCACAACGTTTGACAGTTTAACAGTTTGACAGTTTGACAGTTGTACTGTATTTTAGTTCTGATTTTGACATGGTAGCACATATATGTACATATAACTACCCGGTATGTAACTATGGACGTATGCACTCCGTGTAGACATAGGCCCGATATAAAACTCGAACAAAAAAAAAGGGGAGAGAAATGAACCATGGTACTCAAGAGAATTCTCTGTTGATTTCCCAGAAGATTTTCAAAAGAATTAGAATAACATGCAGATATGTCAATGACACCAAAAAAAATGATCTAAAAATCAAGACATCTAATAATTGTACTCTGTACATCCTACGGAGTTACAAAGTACATCATAGACATGTGTTTCAGCTCAGGCGCTTTCTGAAACATCAAGGCCCCACCACAACCCGACCTCTCTTACCGGCTGTGTCGCTCTATTAATATTCTCTTATGGAGAGAGTTTTCTAGTCCTACAAACGTTTGAACTAGACCCTAATTACTTGACATATATTCTATAAAAAGTACGAAGGGATCCTCTATTTCTTATATGGTGGAGTAACAGGTCACCTGCCGCATCTCTCGGTAACTTCTAAACTCCACTCGTTTGTGCTCTACCTTATCTCTTCTACTACTTCTACCTCTGCTTCTGCCTCTTCCTCTGTCTTTGCCAGTGTTCTTTACCTTTGTTTCTATTTCTGCTTCTGCTCTGCCATTCACATTACTTTTTCTTCACTCCAATCCGTCTTTCCCCCTCCTCAGACTTAGGCGGATTGGTCCAAGGTCGACACTGTGGCTACTCTCGCAGATCCGAACGAGTTGTTTTTGCCGGGTGAAAGGCAAAACAATCTCGCCATGTCCTCACCCGTTCCCCTCCTTCGTCCACCGGTTCCTGGCGCTCGCAACAATAATGGCAGCCCACGAGCGCCGAAGCTCACGTTAGGCATCCCCCCTCAC